CTAAGTGCTTCGAGGTTCTGAGCTCATGTGATGCTGACCTGGGCCTGCAGGGCCATTCGCATCTTACAGAGGAGGTGCCAGAGGCATAGACAGGCAGGGTAACCTGCCCAGGACACGGAGCTGGGCTGATGGGGCTGGGGCCTCTTTCTAAGCCAGCCCTGTCCAGCCTCTGCATCCCGGGCCCTGCAGGAGGGAGCCGTTGGGGACTGGGCTCTCTTCTCACTACATTTTAAAATAAGAGCATTTCTCCTGATCATTGCGTTTTTTCCTCTATATTCCATGTTACCGGTGTCATTCTAAACAGTGAATGGCAGTCCTAGATGTAAGGTCTGACTGCCCCATGAATGGCATGGTAATCTCTGTGTACCCTGCACACACACCCCAGATGAGTTCCTGGAAGAAACGATCAGCTCCTGCGATGCCTAACTAACCTGAGACATTCTTCTATTGTTTCTTTCTTTCTTTCTTTCTTCTTTTAAATTATCATACAGGCCAAAATGTCACTATTGTTTCTTATTCCGGCCTCAATTGACAAGGCCATTGGACTTTGTGACTTTGTAACCAACCTTGGCCCACCTCGTGACTGCATGCCCTACGACCCCCTCCCAGCTTGCAAACCTACAACCCCCTCCCAGCTTGCAAAAAACCGCCCTAAAGCTACTTCTGTAACTTTCCGCTGTTTAACTCCAAACCTATAAAACCAACTCCTCTCCCTCCACCCTCTGCTGACTCCATTTTCGGCCTCAGCCTGGTCACACTTGGGCGAATAAACCGCCATGTTGCTCACACAAAGCCTGTTTCGGGGTCTCTTCATTTAGAGCTCCCGTTTTAACACTGGAGGAGGACTGTGTGTTTGGGGTCATCTGCAGCCTCCTGTGCCCACAGTGGAGACATTCTTGGAAGAGATAATTTATCTTGTGCTTCAGAGACCTTTCCTTCCCCCACACACTCTCGTAAGACTTTTTTTTTTTTTTTTGAGACGGAGTCTCCCTCTGTTGCCCAAGCTGGAGTGCAATGGTGCAATCTCAGCTCAATGCAACCTCCATCTCCTGGGTTCAAGCGATTCTCCTGCCTCTGCCTCTTGAGTAGCTGAGATTGCAGATGCCTGCTACCATGCCCAGCTAATTTTTTGTATTTTTAGTAGGGATGTTGGCCAGGCTGGTCTTGAACTCCTGATCTCATGATCCACCAGCCTCCTAAAGCACTGGGATTGCAAGCGTGAGCCACCAACCCCCGCCCAAGACTTTGTATTTAAGCAAAGTAAATCTTACAGAAAATCCATCAAAGCACTGTGAACAAAAATGCCTGATTGCTCCAGTCATCCTTTGGTTCAATTCTCCTGGTTCCAGAGCTTAGGAACAGTGGGAAGCATGTAGAGGGAGCACCCTCCCAGGGCAGGGAGCACCAGCCTGGCCAGGACTTTCAGGGGAGAGTCTCAGCAGGAGGCCTGGGCTGGGGCAGGTTGGGGAGGTGGCCCATTCAGAAGCAGCAGTGAGGTGACCACACAGTGGGGCAAAGAGCCTGGCCAGGAGTGGGGGTAACAGAGGGGCCAGAGGGGAAGGAGCCAGCCCAGGGGTGGGCCAGGGGCAGGGGGAGGCCAGGGCTAAGTCCCAGCAGGGCTACCAGGCAGGAGGGGGCAGCCATACCTGGTCTGAGGCTTCATCTGTGGCCAGCTGGTCCCAGCCATGATCTTTGTCTGAACCACTAGAGTTTCACTTTCTGTTACAGGCTCCAGGTTTTAGGACAGCCCTCCTTAAAGTGACCACGCCCAGGGCCTTGTGAGTCATGGTGCCTCCCCCTTCCAGTTCAGGCTCTGGTTCGGGAGGCTCCGGAGTGCTTTATCTTCCTGGGCTCTCAGCATCTTTCTGGTTTTCTCTTTCTCTGGGGCCCTCCCCCTGGCAGAGAGACCTCTGATAAAGCAGGCTGCTCTGTGCGGCAGAACCCAAGGGAATTGCAAAGGGAAAGAGAAAGTCACTTCAGCCAGAGCTGGAGAGGTGGTTCCACACTAGGCTGAGCCAGCAGAGCAGAGGCCCCTCCCTGGTGGTCCAGGTCGGCTGGAGCCACCTCTCCACCATCAAGACTGACAGGCTGAAGCCTCTGCAGGGGCTCCTGGATCCTGCCCTCAAGGATCATCCCAGAGACACCCCACCCAGCCGCCGTGAGGACAGGAAGGAAGAGTGAAGGGCCAGGTGTCTACATCCCCCCAACGACTTCACACTCGGAGGCCAGCATGGGAGGGAGGGACAGCAGGTGGGTGTGGCCCCCAGCTGGCTCACCAGGATGTCATGGGCACTCCCACACTGAGCTCCTTCCTTCTGGCTTCTTCTTCTCCTGCCTGGAGTTTCTTCCTGGTGGGCTGAGCTCTTGCCTCCTCTTGTCCCATATCATGAAAGGGCAGCGGCTGGTGTGTCAGGCCAACCTGTCTGGAGCCTCCCTGTGCATCTCACAGCTCCCTTCCCCTAGTAGTGTGCTCTCATGGTGCAGTTAACTAAACATTTCACAACGTATAAATTCGGAAAGGAAACTTTTATTTCTTGTTAAGGGTGACAGCCTGCAAGGTAGCCATCCGGCAGGCTGGGAAGAGCAGCCTCTGGGAAACACCAGAGACAGACCTTTAGAAGCAGGAGGGGTTGGGGCAGGAGCTTTATGCTGAAGGGGTTGGCCAAACATACATATTCAACAGGATATAGGAGGAGCTAGGAATATTCATGCCGATGGTTGTGCTCCGTGCTTATTGAACAGACATGCCGGTAACATATGATCCCGGCTGGGCATGGTGGCTCACACCTGTAATCCCAGCACTTTGGGAGGTCGAGGCGGGTGTATCACGAGGTCAGGAGTTTGAAACCAGCCTGGCCAACATAGTGAAATCCTGTCCCTACTAAAAATATAAAAATTGGCTGGGTGTGGTGTCCCACACCTGTAATCCCAGCTATTTGGGAGGCTGAGGCAGGAGAATTGCTTGAACCTGGGAGGCAGAGGTTGCAGTGAGCCGAGACCATGCCATTGCACTCCAGCTCTGGTGACAAAGTGAGACTCCATTTCGAAAAAAAAAAAAATTAGTATTTCATTTTATTCTTCTGCATAAAGTATAAGGCCACGCCAAGAACAGCACGACCATCTCTGTGATCTGCATGCACACCCGGGTTAGTTCCTATAAGAAACCATCAACCCCTGCCGCGCCTAACTACCCTGAGACATTCTTCTATTGTTTCTTATTCCGGCCTCAATTGACAAGGCCATTGGACTTTGTAACCGACCTTGACTCCACACCCTACAACCCCCTCCCAGCTTGCAAACCTACCACGCCCTCCCAGCTTCCAAAAAACCGCCCTAAAGTAACTTTTGTAACTTTCCACTGCCTTCCCCACAACCTATAAAATCAACTCCTATCCCACCGCCCTTTGCTGACTCCATTTTCGGCCTCAGCCCGCCCGCACCCGGATGAATAAACAGCCATGTTGCTCACACAAAGCCTGTTTGGGGGTCTCCTCATTCAGAGCGCACGTTTTAACATAAAGCCAATTCAATTCATCACTGAATTAGTAGGTCTGAAACCTTTCTGAGCACAATCTCACTACGGTATTCTTGAAACATCACATACATTTTTGATTAAAAGTAATTCGCTCTGTTAGGGACAAGCTGCGTCAGCAAACCCCCTCCACGAAAGCTGAGTCCTCCGCACTCTGAGGACTCCGCAGCTGCATTTCTGAACTCCTATCTGGGTGCCAGGTCAAGGCTACCAGACCTGCTACAATTAAGCAAAGCCTGATTACAGCCATCCGGGCAGCTTGGGAGAGGACAGGGAAAACCCATGTTTGCCATCCACACTTGTAAATTCCTGCTTAACCCATACCTGTAAAATCCTGATTTTTAAAAAAACTGCCCCCACAAAAGTCACAGGATGATGTATCGTAGGTCTGTTACAAGTTGACACACTATCTCTGTGTCTGTTACAAGCTGATAGATTATCTCAGTCCTGAAACTCCCTTACGCTCCTCTCACCCCATGTAAACCCCTCGTTTTATAAGCTGGGGCTGCCTCCTCTGACTGTTACGAGGCAGCCCGGCCGGTTAATAAAAGGTGCTTTGCCTGGCTTAGGGTCCGTTCTCCTTTCACTACGCTAACCTTACACGCTCTAATTTTTAAAATAATCTACTTGTCAGGAGCGCACTTCTTTGCTGGCGTCTGTGATCAGCTGGAGATGGTGGTGAACGGTCTGGTTGCATTTCTTGGAAGATCTTTTATTCTGCTGCTCAACCCAGGTCTCTGCCTTCCTTAGAGACTGAGGATCATCCATCAGTTTCCCTGATTCAAGAAGAACAGGGAGTTGAATGGAGCAGGGGGTGAGAGAGTGGAAAAACAGCACAGGGAGGAGGCCTGGGGACAGGGACAATGACGGGAGAGGAGGGGGGACGTGGGAGGTGGGAGAGAGAGGGAGGCTGTGAGGAGGAAAGAGAGGGAGGGAGCTGGACACCCTTGGGGGAGCAGAGAACCCAGAGGAGGCTCTGAGCAGAGGGGAAGGCAAGGCCCTGGGGAGAGGGGAGGAGGGGAGGCCGATGGGGCACTGGGCAGAGGGAGGGAGCCCTCACCTGGAAAATGGCCTGCAGCCTCCCACTCAGGGCTTGGCTGTGCTCGTCTAGTCCCTCCCAGGGCTGGAAGCAGCATCCCTGGTGATCCACAAAGGTGTCCCAGCAGTGCCTAAACTCTGAAAAAGGGACAGGGGAGATAAGTCACGTTCCCCTGTGGGAAGGAGGCACCGAGGGCCCTGACTCTCAGGACAGACTTCCACATGCTGGTTTCAGTCCCTCCTTTCCCTCCCCCTCCCCTCAGGATTTCGCTCTGTATTAGCCACTTCCTTCCCATTGGAATCTGGGCCATGGAGAAGAGCAGGGGCCTCCCCAGAGGGCCTGAGCACACAGAGCTGACCCTGGGAGACCCTGACGAGGCCCCGACAGGCCCCAGGGCTGCAGGGATCTCCCAGTGAGCCCCAGAAGGGGTCAGAGTGGAAGGTTTGGAGATTCCAGCAAGTGAGCGAGAGCCCCTCCTGATAGGTGCCAAGGGATGTGGGGAGCAGGGGGAAAGAGGGTGGGGTGCCAGGGAGGAAGCCTGGGGATGGAGGGGAGGCAGGAGAAGTTCTCATTCTTCTGGAAGCCCCAAGTCCTTCTTCCACTTCCAGCCACCCTCCCCGCCCTTCCCAGGTCCCCATCTCCTGGCCTGGCCTCTCTCTTCCCATAGTCCCCAAAGTCAAGGCCTCTCCCCCAGGGATGCCCGCCCTCCCCACTTTCTAGTAACTACCCAGGGCCCTCTCCTGCCCCGGCTGACCCCACCCCACTGCAGGCTTCCATTCTCACCGCTGTATTTCATCACGGAAATTGGGGCCCCAGCCCAGCCCAGCCTGCACAGCCCCTCCTCATATCCTGGGTGATAATCATAGATGCGGGCAGCGAAGATGCGCAGGTTCACGTGTGGGTTCTCTTGAAGGAATTCAGCCACCTCCAGGGCACAGCTGAAGCAGGGGCTCCAGGAGATGAAGCAGGTGACCCTGTAGTGCTGGGCCGGGTCCAGCTTCCAAAAGGAAATCAGGTCCAGGAGGCACAGCTCTGCATGGCGGCCTTCAGGGAAACTGAGGCTATTTGAAGCCTAGAAAAGAAAGCAAGGTGTTGGCCGGGCATGGTGGCTCACGCCCATAATCCCAGCACTTTGGGAGGCTGAGATGGGTGGATCACCTGAGGTCAGGAGTTCAAGAAAGCAAGGTGTGAGGCCATCTTTTGTGAGCAGGGAGGGACAGCCTGGATCAGGTGAGGCTGGGTGCGGGGCCGCCTCCCCGACAAGATTAGAAGGAGCACCAAACCCCAGTTATCAAGATGATTTTCTTTTCTTTTCTTTTTTTGAGACAGAGTCTGGTTCTGTCACTCAGGCTGGCATGCAGTGCTGTAATCTCGGCTCACTGCAACCACTGCCTCTCAGGTTCAAGCGACTCTGATGCCTCAGCCTCCCCAGTAGCTGGGATTACAGGTGTGAGCCACCACACCTGACTAATTTTTGTATTTTTAGTAGAGACGAGGTTTCACCATGGTGGCCAGGCTGGTCTCCAGCTCATGACATCAAGTAATCCTCTGGCCTTGGCCTCCCAAACTGCTGGGATTACAGGTGTGAGCCACCACACCTGACCTGATTTTTAAAATAATGCATTAAATCCTTTTATTTTACATTATGATGGGATTTCTCTGATACTATTTGGAGCATCCTCTCATTTTGCACCTGAGGTCAGTGCCTTCACGACCCTCACTCTGGGCCCAGGAGGGTCTGCAGAGCTTGGGGAGGGAGGACAGATGCCACTGAGCTGAGTGTTCGTCCCTCATGGGGAGATCGTTCTGGCCTTGCTGTGGGCTCCACCCTGGTCAGGACAGAATCCCAAGTCAGCCTCTTCTTCCTCAGTCTCTCTCCCGGCAGGATGTAGCCCAGGAGCAGGCACTGGGGAATCCTGGCCTTGTGAGGTCAGGTAGGCCCTGAGTCCTCAAAACCCACAGTTCTGAATCATTCCTGGGGAGAGCTGCATCTGTGAGGGGATCCTGGGAGGGTCCTCAGGAAGCACTTTGCCTTTGAACCTACCTGGCTCTGGGGTTTGCCCCAACCCTCTCAGAGCACAGGAGGAAGGGAGATGGCTGAGCCCTGGGCCTCGGGGTGACTCTGGACTAGTGGTGGCCCTGAGACACGTGGCCGGTTAGGCATGTGGGGCTGGAAGCTGCTGATCCTAGAGTCACTGAAGCCGAGGTCTTCCCAAACCCCAGGGCCAAGCAGCAGCAGTGCAGCAAGCACAGGTGACAGACAGTCTGCGGGAGCCCACGGGTCCCACCCAGAACCTTCTAGCCATGCGTGTCCCTGGATGGGGAGGGCCCTGCGTGGGTGCAGGTGTCTGGTGATCACCTCGTTGAGTATGAAGCCCCTGTGCTGGTGCAGTGGGACCCAGGTGCCACTGTTCAGGTGCCCCACCTCGTAACACAGGTAGGTCTGGTGCTGTCCAAGGACCGAAGGGTCATTGGTAAAGTTGTAAGTGAAAGTGCCTGGATCCATCAGGTGTCTGTGGACAGCGGGAGAAAAGCCCAGAAAAGTAAGAGCCCTCCTGGACTGCCCTGCCTCCCCCTCCCTCCCCACGCTTTCCCTCAGGCATCCCAAATTCCTTCCCCCTGCTCCCCACATGCCTTGGCACCACTCAGGAGGGGCTCCCACTCACTTGCTGGAATCTCCAAACCTCCCCCTCTGGCTCCTTCTGGGGCTCACTGGGAGATCCCTGCAGCCCTGGGGCCTGTTGGGGCCTTGTCAGGGTCTCCCAGGGTCAGCTTCGTGTGCTCAGGTTGTAACATAGCTAGCCTAAAGTTAGAACCTGAGCAATACAAAGCTGTTTTTAAAATAAGTTGCAACAGCTGCCCCATTCTCCTCATAGTAACTGCCGGCCTTGCTTGCTACGTAAAGCTGCTTGCCTTTGCTTATCAATAAGTGCCGTAAAGTTGCTTGCCCTGTACTCCCTCACCCTCCTTTGCTTATCAGCAATTGCCGAATAAGCAGTCCTAACCCACGCCATCTTGGCTCCTGCGACTTGTAATAAGGTCTGTGACTTCCGCCTTACCCAGATGATGTGTAAACAAATGTTTTTCTTGACTTCTGTAAACCACTTAAGTAACAAACGGAATGACAAGAGTCCCCTGGCCCTTGGAATATCTGGAGCCCTGTCTCCGCCCAGGAGATGATTTACAGAATCCACTAGCCCTGGGACTGTCTGAAGCCTTTTCATCCCCATCCCCGCTCCTCACCCCCACTCCCAAGGTGGCTTTTCGGGTATAAAAAGTATTGGCACCCTCCCTTCGGGGCCACAGATTGGAGAGACGTGAGTCCTCTGTGGTCACCGGCATAGCAAGTGACCCTGCAATCTGGCATACTTTTGTCTTGGTGCTAACTCTCTATGCTCAGTCCAGTACAACAGGCCCTCTGGGGAGGCCCCTGACCCTCTCCCTGAGCTAGAGCTGGGTCTCCTTCCCTGGCCTCACCATGCAACCCGGTCCTCGCTCTGCTCGCCCTCAGTCCCTGCTGGAGATGGATCCGCTGGGGCTTCCCTCCTGCAAGCGGGCTGAATACTACCACACCCAGCATCAGGGCAGAGACGCTCCTGAGCAGGACCAGCAGGAGAAGAGCCTGCTAGGGACTTTTTTTTTTTTTTTAATAATTCACAGGATTTTCTTCTGTTTCCCAAAAAACACCTATCCTCACAAGACCACAAATTATGAAAATAAAAGTGAATTCTTAGCGCCCAGTGCAGAGGCATTTCCAAAACAGAAATGCCAGGTCTTCTCCCTGGACTGGACAGAGGGGAGGATGTGAGCTCTGATGGGATTC